CCTTTTTATTCGCAATTGAGGAAGTTTTATTGAATTTTGCCGTTTTCGTACAGCTTTTTTAATACGATACTTAAAAAATGTGCTTCAAATATGCTAATGGAAACAATGAGGTGAACAACTTTAAACAGTTGTTTATGATTGCGCCAAGAAGGAAATGTAACTTCAGCACTGTAAAGGCTTCCGTCATATCATGCCTAACTGCTCTATCAGCGGTCACTACTTTGGTACTTTGGCAAGAAAGCATACTCAGTGCTTCTGGCCGGAGATTTCAGAGAAACCAATGACATTTGACAACAATGCCAGCTGGAAGAGAAAACAGTAACAGCTCTGTTGACCAAGTGATCGAGGTAGCACTTACAGGCCGAGTGGTGGAGAAGGCCTAGTGAGTTGATCACTTGTGTGCAGAATGAGACATTCAGCGTGGCACTCGGGCATTTTGTGTCAGGTGAGTGCAACAACACTTGTGCATTAGCATATTGTGGAATAATCTCCCAAATCAGACTTTATTGAGATCCATCAGCAAAAACAGAGGGATTTGATTTAAGCGACGGCTCTCCGTGGACACAGATTACGAGCCCTGGAACCCCGGGAAGCTGCGGAGAAGAGGAGGACGGGCTGTGAGCAGGTAGGGCTGATAATTACCGTCATTCATCTTCACTGGACCCCGCCACCGCACCATGAAGGTGCATTGGAGTGCAGGCCCGCTTTTGATGAATCTCCCCCTTAAATTAGCAGTCGCTGGTGGATTGAGAGCCTCCATCACTCCGTATGCTCCCATTCATCATCTCATTAGGACCCTGGGCTGGGCTGTGCGGGCCTGACGACCCCCAAAGAGAAAGGGGGAAACTATGAGCTCCATCATAACGAAACATTTTGCCGTCGTTGTTTACAAATCTGTCATCTCTTTTTTTTTTTTTTTATAAACCACAATCTGTTCAACTCCCAAGGCCCCTTAATCATTTGTAGAAAAAAAAAAAATTCTTAATGTATCAGGGGCAGAGAGTGGCACAGTTGTTTACTACCGTGGGAATCCAGTGCCATTACAGACCTGGAACAAATGCCAAATTCTTATGTAAACCTACTGTGTGTGTGTGTTTTTATAGGAATGTGCTTCTCTTCAGGTGTTTACATGAACGTGAGGTATAAAGATTTGTGATGCGAGGTAATTTAGAGAAGATTTTACGGCCATGATGTGGCGGTGGGGAATCCCAGATTGATGTCTTTACTGCGCTCTTCGCTGCAAAGTGAAAGAGTGGTGGCCCCGTGGCCCTGGTCTCTCTCCGTCACCCCTTACGCCCAGGTGGTTGAATCTTTCAGGAAGCCACAGACACCCCTGCGTTTGTTTCCCCCACAAACTCAGTGGCGATTGCAGCCTTGAGACACCCACCTCCCCATTCCAACTCAGACCCCCGTCACGCTCCAAACGCATCACTAACTGGATCTCCATGTGGTACATCCATTACTGTAAAATACTCTGCTGCTCCCCGCTGAAAGCTCACCATCCTCCTCTGCCCGCACACACACACACACACATACACACATCAGCCCCTCCACCTCCACCACCCCCCTTCATAAGACCGCTTACGCTTGCAGTTCTGAATTGGGCCAAGTCCAAGTTTAACATTAGTGGGGACGGGGGGGCGGTTGGGGTGTTTAAAAAGCAGCCTGCGGAGAGCTGCAAGAGTCACGGCCATGACTTACGCTCTGGTAAAAGAAAAGACAAAAATCTGCACATGACGTCCATGACGGACTTTTTTTTTTTTGTAACCGCTAATTGAGAAATCAGGAATGCCATGCAAAATGTTCAGGGTTTACATGTTAGAGCCATCTATGAGGGGAATTTATAGCCGTGTCGCCAAGGACAACATTAGTTACCTTTGGATTATTAATTTGTGTGCAATGGGAGAGCTGTGATTTATCACCGGCGCCGCGGGGACCAGTCTCACCGAGGGGGCTTTGCTTTGTCCTTTCCACTCTTAGGTTGTGCAGTGAAGCCACAGAGTTCTGTCACTACCAGGAAATGGAGGGATTTTTTGGGGGGGGTTTGGCTTTCTTTTATTTGGATTTTGTTCTCATCCCATGTTCTGGGGAAATGCTGACGAATTGAATTCTCGGTGCCAAAATTCTGAGCAAACCCCCCCTGTCATTGTTTAAGGCCAACAAAGGAGCGGTTCATTTAGACTCAATTTATTATGATTTCTTCTTTGTGTCAACAAATGGTAACGCTGACTTGGCAAATTGCTTCTTAGGAAAGACGACGCCAAACCTTGGCTCTCTCCGCCTGTATGTGTGTGTGTTTGAGAGACAGTGAGAGAAATTGTAATTATTATTATTATCAATATTATTATTTTTTTATTACAAGTAAAATCCCTTGATAGTTATAGGTTAAAGCTACAACGAGATATACTTTCAATTTGTGTTGATTTTGGCGGTGCGTTTAACCAAAATCACTTCGGAAAACCTCTCACTTTACCACGCCAGGGTCTGCCCCACTCAGTCCTGGTTCTGGTTCTCCCGTGCCTCACTTCCCTCAAGCGGGCCCAATAATACCGCCCATGGGTCTGCAGCAGCGTGGTGTCGGTGTTGGCTCCCAGCGGACTTTGATATACTGTATACTTGATTCTGATTGGTCGACTATGGCATTCTGCGGTCTGTTATTTCTTTAGAGCAGACTGCAGCTACGAATAATCAGACTCTAGAGAAGTAGACGTAGTCTCATAGACTTCTATACAACCAGAGGAGTCGCCCCCTGATGGTAAATTAGAAACACTGCAATTGTACGGCACTTACGCATCGGCTTCATTTTTCAGACACAGACCATTCTCAGTTCTTAACTCCGTACACAGGGAGAGGACTAAAATCATTTTTAAATAAAAGAATGTGTGTCAAATTATTGATTTGTTTAGTAAGTAGCCGTGAAACAAGCCGCTTGGCATCGAGGTCCAGCTCACCCTGTCAGGGTTCATTTCTCATCAATGACCGGCTTGCTGTACAATATCCCTTTCTTATTTTAATGTTCAACGGTAACTCATTCAAATTTCTGGCATCACAGACCCTAAAAGAATTAAACCTCAGCAAGCCCAATTTGGCAACAGTGGCTCCAGTCTGATGAGCATTACGATGGTGGTCTTAGAGATACTACCATGCTGAGTTGTACTTGTAAGGAGACTCTATCCTCCAAGGATAGAGTCTGTTTGCCAACATGTGCTCTTGTATTTAAGCCACACAACCCTGACTAACGTCTTCTGAGAGATCCGTCTTTAAGTGCCCAGATGTGGTCTTGCACCAACAGTGAAGGCCAAAGTGCTGCGCTGTGCTTGCTCCACATGGAGAACACCAAAAATCTCTCTGTAGGCACTCTGCACCGCTGCGACTACTCATCGCATCCAATACAAACGTACGCCTCTGTACAAACCAAACACATCTGTAAAAGCAGATGCGATTTAAAGAAGGTCATAATTCAGGTGGGCATGTTCCACATAACTTCCCTAAACATGTATTAATGCACCACCCGGCCCTCCTACTCGCATGCTCACTCAGAAATAGACCTGTCATCTTGCCACCATGCCCTTATCGTCTAACTGCTAACAAGCCTATTTGCCTGTGACTGACGTTGATGTGATCCCTAAAGCCCCGGGCTTGGCACCAGAACGCTCCTAAGCCAAATTAAGCTTCTGTCATGCCCCCCCCCCCCCCACCTTCAGTCTAGTGCTACCCCTGCCATGGGAACCCTAAATCTTTAATGACGATGGAGAGCTCCGCGCGCACCCACGACACAAAAGCGATGACATCTGTCTGTGTAAGTGCTGCACTCCAGAGCAACCCCATTTGTTCCATCTCCGCTTCTTGAAAAGAAATCAAATATAAAAGTTGAGGGAGGGCTGAGGCTGCGAAAAAGAGGAAGGGAGGAGGTGAAGCCGAGGACGTTAAACACAAAAGATCCTCTCTTTTCAAAGACGGTTTACTTCCCTGCCCTGTGGTCCTTAAAGGTTCAAAGAAGGTGTTAAAAAGGGGCTTAGCTCCCCTTATCGCTCTGGTGCTCCGGCTTCAGCCCACCTGCTCACAGCTACCTCCAAGTCGACAGGGACGTTTCGTGAAAAACGTGCCCCCCATCACTGATCTGAGCTCCTGAAAGTCACTGAGAGTGCCTCTGAAAGCGATTATTTTACCAGCTATGGACTTTTTCCACATTTGGCCAGCACGGTTCCCCAGTGCTACCAAACTTAAGAAAAATGATTTCTAATGAAATACGTTAAATACATAAATAAAGAGCTTCTTTAAAAAAAACCCCAATAATACTGCCTCTATGATCTGGAACAAACCTAGAGAAGACACAGGGTAAGATCTGCCCCATATTTGACCACCTTATAAGTTAAACAACTTTAGTTCTCCATCTACTTTGACACAAGCACTATCGCTCCCCATCTTGCACTTGAAGCATGCAGTCTCCTTTATTGATGTGTTCATCTCATTCCTTTAATCTGGAGCTACAACTAACAGTAATTTATCATCACATTAATCTGTCAGTTATGTTCAAGATGGATTTAGCCTGTGAGGCGCCCTTGAGGGCTTTGAAAGGCGCCTATAAACAAAATGCATCAATGTTATTAGTTATATTATTATTATTATTAATAAATGTCAGAAAACTATGAAAATTGTCCATCACAATTCCCCAAGCACCAAGGTTCTGAAATTGCTTGTTTCTTTGAACAGTCCTAAAACATTAAATTAGAATTGGTATATATATGTTATTGTTGAATCATTTTCTGTCGATCAACTAGACTAATTGATGAATGGTTTCAGCACAACTTTCCTCCTTTTTTATTTTAATGTCATATGCAGATTTGTCTAATGCAATCTCTTTTATGGGTGCATATAAAAAGTACTTATATATATTATATAGAAACAAAAAGTATACAAATTGGAATTCTAAATAATGTCTCATCGGTACATAAGACATTAAATTGCCTTCTTATCTTGGTGCCATCTTGACAAAGTGCAAGAATACTCAATATCAATTCTAAATCTCCTAATGTATTTTTTTGCTGGTTATATTCGATGCAATATTTTAAAGTAAACCTCTTTAACTTTACCAATAAGACAAAATTTAATAATTGAAAGCTATACAAACATAGGATGACTCACCGACCGTGATGAACAGGCACTCCGGTAGACACCTCTGTGTATTCGCAGGGTCCTTCTTGTGGAGGAACAAAAAATGGCGGCGTCCATGCTGTGCAAGAGGACGGCAATGTTATGCAGGACTTTAAAGGGACTTTCATGTTCAAAAACTGTACTTTTCGCGGACTCTCAAAGCGGGATTCTATTGCAGACAGCGTCCTACAACCCCAAACCTTTAAAGCTGAACCTCCGCGAGCCATACATTCCCGACAAGGACAGCGAGAAGACGCCCGAGTGGCAGAAGACGGGCCGGTATGACAGGAAGCTATTCGGCCGGTACGGTTCAGCGTCAGGTATCGACCCTGCCTCGCTGTGGCCCAGCCACGAGCAGCTGGACAAGCTTATCGCAGAGGAAAACGAGTGGCACCCTCCATTAGAGGTAATGCTGAAGAAGATCGAGGCCAAGGAGAAGGTGGAATCCGAAAAGCGGTTGGCAAAGTAAGTAATGCTAAAGGTACTGTAGCTAATGTGTCAATTATCGGACAGACCGTGGTTCGTTTTTCTCTCGCTACAGTTCTGTGCTAGCACGATTATTACCGGGCAGGGTGTACGTAATAAAGTCACCTCTCGTTATGTAACGGTAAATATGTGGGAGGCACAAACTGGGGCTAAGAGAATACGGCGAAAGATAAACCAGCACCCAATAGAGGTCGAGGATTTGTCCACAACATTGACCTCATTAACATTCCCTGACGGAGGAGCGCTAATTTCAACTAGCATAAAGTCACAGAACGTCAGAGCTTATTTTAGATCATTTATCGTGATATTTTAGACACCTGCTGCTAAACAATGATTAGAAATATAAGTTGGAGCTTGGTACCTTTGAGGACATGTTGTTTAAAGGGGAAAGAAACGTGTAGCGGTACTCTCTTCCACATAGCTGGGGACTGTCAGACATCATTTATCCTTTTATTTTCAGGTATTGATAAGTCTCTTAAAATCTCTTACAAACACATGTTTCCTTGCGATTAAGTAAAAAATAAATGTGTTCAGTTGACGTTTATTAATGTGCATTGTCCCAAATAAATATCTTTGTGTATACAGGTATTTATAATCATGTATGTTTGTGTGCTATGTATTATTTGACTGTTTGTTATTGTGATTATAATATGGACTGGGCAACAAGATACCCAAATATACTCATAACTTTGATTGCCTGATTCTTCCTCTTACTTACAACGGTTCATCCTGCGAGGACCATGAACAGTGCCACATTTCATAGCAGTCCACCTCATAGCTGTGGAGACATCACGTGCCACATTAACATCTGTTATGCTAATCTTTGTCCTCTCCCATCGCAGAGAGAAACTTATCACAGCCAACATGGCCAAAATGCCCAAGATGATTGCCGACTGGCGCCGGGAGAAGCGCGACACCAAGAGCAAGCTGAAGGAGGAGAAGACTCGCCGCGCAAAGCTGCTGGCCGAGGCCAGACAGCGCTTTGGCTACGCCGTGGACCCCCGCAGCCCCAAGTTCTTGGAGATGGTCGCAGAGTTAGAAACGGAGGATAAGAAGAAGAAGAAGCTAATGAAGCGCAGACTGAAAGAGGAGCAGGCGGCGGCCCCCATCACACCTCCTGCTGCCTCCTCGTAGTCTTGGACTGAGCCGTTTCCCACATAACTAACTGTATTTAATGAAGATGGAAGGCATGCTGCGCCCTGAGGGACATTTGTTAAAGAGTATAACGGCTTGGTCCTTGTTTTACCTGATGGCATCTGGAATGACCTGGATTCAAGAAAACACTTTTTTCTGTAAAAAAAAGCACATGTTCATTTCTCTATGTATTTAGCCTTCACTGAAATAAATGAATTTCTGTACAGACTGCATGTTGTCTAAAAATATTGTCTTTATGGAAGATAGATATCCCAAACTACAGAATGCTGGTACTTTTGGCATTTACGACAAAGACAATTTATATGAATTTATTTCTGCAAAAATATGTTGCATACATACTGAAATTTTTGGAAAGTGCACGCACTGTTTCATACAAAGTACAAATTTTGATAAATACACACCAAGAGGGCGCAAGTATGTCCGTCAGTAATTTGCATTTCCATTGCATACAGAATGAGAAATGAATGACGGTGCATAGAGTACTGGCTGCCGACTAGTTATCTGTCATATCAAGCCAGGTAACTATTTTCTAAACTTCTGGATTCAAAAACAGTTTGTATCGAATGTGTTTTGCAGTTGAAATTATAAATCATTCCCAGCCAGCTGAAGTTACTTCATTATGTAATCGGAGCTCTTTTAATACAGTAAAATACAGCTGTTACTATACACTTGATTAAATAACATCTCTTACATTACATATTTATAGTCTTTCAATCAACTGATTCAAATTGAGTTTAAATTTCCAATGCAAACCTGTATTGTATATACACACTCCCTCCACTTTTAAGCTCTTGTCTGGGATTAAACAGGTTATACCTTTGTCCTGTGATATTAGTGTAGAACTAAAATGCTAAGCCTGAACACAGTGATAAAATACCCAGCATGCACTTGTTGAATATAGGTTAAAAATCAACAACTGGGTATAACTGGAGCAGCGATAACCATGATGGGAAATGGAGAGTCCAGAGTGTGAAGAGCCTTTTCCAGTCGTCCTACATGCGAGTGTCCTCACCGGGGTCGGCCTTCAGTTTGGCCAGAGCGGCGTGGATCCTGAACTGGGTGCGGGACTCCATCGAGTATTCTTTGTAGTTGAGTCTACAGGTCAGAAACAGTGGAGGAGGTTAAAGTGTGACAGAAGGTGTGCTTATGTGAAGTCCCCCCCCCCCCCCCCATTGTGTGGATGGCCTCTCAGATGTAGATTCATTAGGCAGAGAGCGACCTCTAGTGTTCCTGTACTGGCTATACACCGAGGAGGAGACGGCACTCCTTGTACGTTGTAGTACTATCCTGTCCAAGCAGTCCTGAAATAAAAACTTTGATGGTGAAATAATTCTAATCACAATTAATAAATATAATAGGTAATAATATGGGGATAATTATATTTTATAAAGAACATTTTATAGCAATAATTCAGCAATTTGGGTAATATAATTATTTGCCAAGCGGCAGGTGAGAAGATTGATACCCCTCATGTCTGTGATGTGTTATGAAGCTACAGCCAGCAGCTGGTTAGCTTAGCATAAAGACTGGACACATGGGGAAATGGCTAGTTTTAGCTGTGGCCAAAGCTAACATCGACCTACCAACATCTCAAAAGCTCACTATTTAGCACGTATTTAGTTTGTGGTACGTACAAGAATGAACTGTAATGACAACAAGTCACTCTCTTTCAAGGGGGTTATTGTGCAAAACTATTTCATGGCTGTGGTTGGCGGATTTTCTTACCAGAGCCAGGCTAGCCGTTTCCAGTCTTTATGCTAAGCTAAGCTAACCAGCTGCTGCTTTGCATTTACCGCACAGACCTGAGTGTGTTATTAATGTTTTCAAGTAACTATTTGCAAGAAAGCAAATACGTGTGTATTCCAAAATGTGCTAAATTCAAAATCAGAACATTAATATAGCAGTAAACAACTACTGGCTATGCTAAGAGATAGTGGAGTAATGTCTACCTGAGCAAAGGAATTAAGTCTCTCTCCATCCTGTTGGTTTAATACTACAAAATAAACTGCTGGTTTAAAGTACTGGCACCTTTACAACTAACTAAAGTACTGCATTTCTGTATTGAATGCATGTTATATGCGCACAAGAATGACAAATGACATTCCACTCGGTCATCTCACTAGTAGCTGCTGTGAGGGAGTTACATACTTGGCCTTGTGCAGTATCTTAATAGCCTCGTCCCTCCTGCCTTGGTCCATGTAGAGCAGACCGAGCTCCATCAGGCAGTTAGGCACAAGGTAGTGGTCGAACCGGATCATCTTTTCACTGAGCAAACACGAAGAAGAACGTACGGTTACATTTTACAAAGGGATGAAGTCCATACCCTGTAATGCCGTATGAGAGTTTGGGAGTTGGGCGGGCTGGAGCCGATCGCAGCGGACATTGGGCGAAGGCATGGTACACCCTGGACAGGTCGCCAGACAACCATTCACGCGCACATCCACACCAACTGGCAATTTAGAGTCATCAATTATCCTAAGTTGCACGGTGGTGTGGTGGCTAGCACTGTCACCACACATCAAAAAGGGACCTGGGTTCGGTTCCCGGGTTGGACGGGCCTTTGATGTGGAGTTGGCAAGTCAGCGTGGGTTCTATCCAGCTTCCTCCCACAGTCCAAAAACATGCTGCTTAGGTTCTGCAAGGTATTTCTGTTTTCTTTTGTCAATGGAGCCTTGTGGCTTTGAAGAAAGCAATAGAACGGCATTGGCTCCCCGTCAGAAAGGGCTGTCAGAAAGCCACAAACTCCATTGACAATAATAGCTTACTTTGCTAACCTATGTCGCTGCTTTTCGCTAACAGCAGAAAAGCAGATGGAGTCGACCTTTAAAGACCTTTTACAGATGACTTTGGACCCATTTATGGGTTTCATTTGACAGTTAAGTGACTTCAGGACATACTGTATGGTCAGTGTGCTGAATCCAGGTTTTTTACCTGCAGTGCACAAAGTGATGTTTTGTCTGTTCACAGAAGATAAACCGTTTTTCGCGTTGCATGCAGGGGAACAGCTCGAGTGTTTTTGAAGTGAATCCACCGGAGCTCACCTGGACAACACTTTGCCGAAGCTTTCCTCTGCAGGCTGGAGGAGACCCTGGTTCTTTAAACACAGACCCTTCAGCAGGTGGATCAAACTGCGGTCGTCCACCGAATACTCGTTGTCTGTAGAGGAGGAAGCAGACGTCATCAGCGCAGCGGACACCCAGATGTGTCAAGTGATCTCACTTTGTCTACAGTTACATTTCTAGGCAAACAGAAGTTGGATTACTGGGAAACTCCAGCAGGGTGCGCTCCGCCTCCACCAAAGTCTGCATCATGCCTTCGGTCAGCTCTGGTCGCTTGCTGATCATACTGAAACCGTTCCACATGTACATCATCTCCTGTAATGAAACGGTGAATGCTGTTGGACGCGCGTCAGAGGAGTAAAACACAACGCACATTTTGAGTGTTTGTGCGAAGCTTTTACCAACACCGGCACCGGCAGCCTGATCGGGCAGTGGACCTTGTAGCGCTTGGCTTTGCGGATGGCAAACTTCTCGGTCGGGGGGGACTTCCCTGCTATCTTCTGCTTGTAGGTGGGCACCAGTCTAAAAGAGACAGGAAAATAAGAAAGACAGATTTGAGAAGAACGCGTGGGGTTTGGCGTGGCACGAGTTAGTGCAGTTTTTTTCAATGATGTGCCCCTTTGACCAGCACAAAAAATAACTAAACAAATGTAATTGTGAATGTGATTGCATCTGAAGCGGTTTAAAAAATAAGAATAAAAAATGGTGGTAATCGAATTTATATGTACTTATTTTAATTGCAGTTATTATAGTAGAATTATTTAAGGATATTGCATTTAAATTTCATATTAAAAAAAAAAAGATCTCACATACACCGCAGTACTCTAAAGCAGTGGTCCCCCAACCCCCGGGCCGGTACCGGTCCGTGGGGCGTTTGGTACCGGGCCGCACAGAAAGAATAAATAACTTATATTATTTCCATTTTATTGATTATCAGAGTCTGAAAGATGTTTTATTTTGATTCTCTCCCAATTACATCCGCCTGTGCGTCTTGACACATGTCAAGACGTTTGTCTCAGTCACGTGATGCGTTACCTCAAAAATTAAGCCCACAAGCTGGTGAAAATGAGTAAAAAACAAATGTCTTTGGAGAGTTCTTTGCACCGATTCAGCATTATGGTGAGTTGTATTTTTTATTATGCCGGTCGCCACACCTTGAAGGCCGGTCCGTGAAAATATTGTCTTACATGAAACCGGTACATGGCGGAAAAAAGGTTGGGGACCGCTGCTCTAAAGTAGCCCTTGGGTCACTAGTACCCACATTTAAGAAACACTGAATTTTGGCAATTAAAAAACAAAAAAAAGTATTTGGGCTACTTGGTACTTGGGTGGTGTCAACAGAAAAGTGACATATTAACACCTTACACCAAACATGTAGGCTAACAGTTTACACATCCAGCAGACGCAGAGCAACATCAGCTTTCATTTGGAGTCGCGTGTCTGTCCGCCTGACGAATTTAAGTCCAACTTTTTTGGTCTCCACCAGCTCCTCAGGGAAATATCGATGCTCCACTATGTTCACCGGTAACTTGCTTTAACTTCGTCAGTGCTGTTTGGTGCTGACAGTTCGTGTCCAGTGGGTTTATCATACATTAACAGCACAGTTAAAACCGTCTTTATCGCTTAAGAAATATTGCCAAGCTACGGAGCTTTTTTTTCTTCCCAGGATGCTGAAAAAGTGGTAACGTACTGCTCACAAAACTACATACAGCCGTCTAACACCTGTAATGACGTCGTTACTTTGGCTTCCAGTTCATTTTAGAATTGGTAGAAGACATTGTAGTGTTGGCCAGAGATGATGCAGCTTCCCACCAGCAAATACACTCTTTAATCCTCCAGGTGCACACAAAGTACACAGACAGGTACGTGAACAAGCCTCACTTTGGTAAAATTGTAAGAATGTCATGAGCCTCAGGACAACAGCAGTGTGTTCCTGAGATATGCCATGCAACAGTTACAGTGTGTGTGTGTGTGTGTGTGTGTGTGTTTACCTAAAGAGCTCAACCTCGTCCTCCCCAAAAGGCCTGGCCTCGTCTTCACGCAGCATGCTGAGGTAGGCAGCTTTCATGTAAACATACATGGCCTAGCAGGGAGAAAACACAAAGACAGGAGTCACTCATTTTTGTCTCTCAAGATGTTTTTCGATGCTCAGGTTTGTATTCACTCCCGCTCCGGGTTCTGTACCTTGGACCAGCGGCTCTCCTTGCTCAGCAGGTCTGCGTAGAAGTACGCCATCTTCCACGCGCGCTTGTAGGTGAAGCACCACATCAGCTCCCAGTAGCACATGTGGTGGAACTGCTTCCACGCCTGCTGGGCCTTGCAGCCGTCCTCAAAGAGTGCCACCGCCTGGCAGCACAGCGGCAGCATTCATCACACGCCACATTAAAGGAATACTTCGCCCCCTAAAATGACCCTTTGTGTACCAGTTCAGTCACCCTGTGTTACCTTGAATTCTTGAAAATGTAGAAAAAGTCCTGATGAATTGAACACTTCTGCGTAAACAGTCTCAAACTGTTTGGAAGAGTCCACAGTGTTTTACATAGTAAGGTTTCAGCGATGCATGTGTTTGGGACGTAGTGAGCCACACCCTTGAGTTGTATTTACAGTGGGTACGGAAAGTATTCAGACCCATATATACATATATACATACATATATGTACATACATATATACATACATATATGTACATACATGTACACATACATATATGTACATACATGTACACATACATATATGTACATACATGTACACATACATATATGTACATACATGTACACATACATATATGTACATACATGTACACATACATATATGTACATACATGTACATACATATACATACATATATGTACATACATATACATACATATATGTACATACATATACATACATATATGTACATACATATACATACATATATGTATATACATATACATACATATATGTATATACATATACATACATATATGTATATACATATACATACATATATGTATATATATATACACATACATACATACATACATATATACAGTATATACATATACATACATATATACAGTATATACATATACATACATATATACAGTATATACATATATATATATATACATACATACATACATACATATATACAGTATATACATATATGCTCGAAAACCCTCCAATGTGGCTGAATTACAACAATTCTGCAAAGATGAGTGGGCCAAAATTCCTCTACAGCCCTGTAAAAGACTCATTGCCAGTTATCGCAAACACTTGATTGCAGTTGTTGCTGCTGAGGGTGGCCCAACCAGTTATTAGGTTTAGGGGGCAATCACTTTTTCACACAGGGCCATGTAGGTTTGGATTTTTTTTCCCCCTTAATAATAAAAACCTTCATTTAAAAACTGCATTTTGTGTTTACTTGTGTTATCTTTGTCTAATATTTAAATTTGTTTGATGATCTAAAACATTTAAGTGTGACAAACATGCAAAAAAATAAGAAATCAAGAAGGGGGCAAACACTTTTTCACACAACTGTATACATATATTTTTGCATCAATTAATTCATAAATTTTTAAATAGTATTTTTCCAATGTATTTGACATTATGTTTGTTTGAATGGAAACATGTTTTGTCGTTAATGCTTCCCATTAGAAACATTTGAGACATTTGATGAAACACACCTCATCGATGTTCCCCTTGATCTCTTCAGTCCTGCCTGCAAAGAAAAGGAATATTGCTCCCTGGACAGAAGAAAAAAAAGAAGGAAATTAAATAAAAGAAATTAAAGAAATAAATATATGTTTTGGAGGCTCCAGTGTTACATGTTAATCATCTGTGTGTTAAATAACCACCTATCTGCAGGCAGACCTGTTGTATTGCAATTACTCTCGGCAGTGTTTAACCACGACATTTCCATTGGGGTTTGGTACACATTGTGTCAGAGCACTGAGTTTGTTCTCTGGGATGGGCAGGCATGTAGGTAAAAGGTGGAGTGTGAACAGGGATTGTGATTTTACAAGAATGTGAGTCAGGTGGAATGGCAGGAGTGATGTGTAAATGAAGGATACACGGTGTTAAGGACTGCAGGGTGCACAAGGGACTGCGTGAGGGGAAGGTGGAGCGAGCGTCGGACAAAAGTAAACAGGGTTGGGACGATGACTGGACGATGGAAAGAAAAGAGAAACAATATGAGTGGAAGGAGGGATCCGTAAGAAAGAGCCGACATACAGTGAGACACAATGAAGGTGTAAAAATAGAATGATTACAGGAACGAGGTGGCACCCAGAGAAAAGAGAACACAATAAATGTAATACAAACAGTACAAACTACTGGCAATAAGGATCTTTTTTAAACATTTATGATAACTCTGTACTGACTTTAACCACGCAGATGTAGGAAAAACAAAGTATGACGGGGAAAGAAAGCGATGGTGTTTATCCAGATCATCTGAACCACTTTCCCTCATTGCACAAGAAATGTGTAAGCGAGCATAAAAATGGCACGTACAACTTTGACCCACAAAGTTGTACCAGGAAGTTGCCCAGTCTGACTTTGCAATGCTGCTGTGTACCGAAATCTCGGCCATTACATAGGTGAGTACAATCAATGCATTGTCATTAATTGGCAAAAATGAGGGTCCAAACTACAAAAATGAGATGACAATAAGTCAAACTTAAATAACAACAACCGACTTTTACTCCCTAGTATGGGCGAAGCTCCAAAAACACTGGATCCTGCATTTCCCATAATGCAACTCGTTCCCAATTTTTTCGTTGGAGGCATTACTCGCGACCAGTAATCTAATCTTTAAGTGTAAAATAATCGCAGTTCCCTTTCAAAGCCTGGTCAAGCCAGCAAAATGTTTGGTTATGATACGTATAGGACTGGGCCATCTTGATATTCTTTTTTTACAAAAAAATAAACGAACATCCGATAAGTCGTAGCCTCTGCTGCAGCCGACTTGTTGCAGCATATTATAAACCATAACACATCATCTGGTTTCTTTAAGGATCGGTTCTAAGGAGAATAATCTTAAAGATGTAAATTGAGCATTATTATTATCGAATATATACCCTGATAAATATTGACATCAATCAATATAAAAAACGACATATCGTGATTATATTATGGGCCATATCCTCCAGCCCTACAATACACTTTAATGTCCCCGTAGAGAAATTTGTCTTGCACTCAAATGCTGCACACGTGACATATCGTCTTATGTAGCTTCCTCACAAGTACTAATAAAGAAAACGACCATGTAAACAAAGCAACGTGTACTGAAGCACATCATAACCACTAAATCGCATGTATTACACAACCAGTAATATTGTTATTACACAAGCCTTCTCACCATGTCATGTATCTGTTGCACAACCCCTGCAGCCTCAAAAAACTTGATTTACATACTTTATTCAGTGAGGTAGGAGGAGTCTTCAGACCGGCTGAGTTTACATGGGGATACTGTATACCGTTTGCCAGACAATATACAGCAGTGGCGGGCCGTGCATTTTATACCTGGGCCTTCAGTGCTGTCCTACTACAGTTGAACCACCTCCTAGTAACCTCATTATGACGGCACAGCTACGGGTTATTATTTGTTGCTAGGGGTATAACAATACATGTATTCGTATTAAACCGTTCGGTACGAGGCTTACGAACCGAACAATACCTTTGAATAATACTAGTGCATTTGGAAAATGCAGAAGCTTAAATTGTGGGAAATATAATGTTTTCGGTGGACTGTGCTCACGTAGGAGACACCGGGCAAAAATGCAAAATATGTCATAATTTCTTCCATATCTTTCAATTTGAACTCTTACTACTCCGACTAAGCCTCTGATGGCTACTGTAAGTTTCTTTTTCCAATAGTCACGTGCTCGCCCACTGACCAATCACAGCGCACGCTGCACCTCACTGCAGAGCTGCACCTGAAAACTGAGCTGCACGTTAATGCTGACGTACTTGTAGGCCAGCTAGCAGGCTCTGACACGTCAGAGAATACGCCCAACATGTCAAACTAAAGATCTGATTGGTTGAACACTATGACAATCAACAATATCGTCCCCATTCACTTAAACTGCAAAGCGATTCACTTGTGAGTCTGCAGGCCTCGGGCCTCTGTTCTTACCTAGAGACACAGAGGTGAAATCTGATTGGACAAAAGCTCTACTTAAAAAAAGCTGCACTGGAAGCAGAGCAACTGAGGAAGACAGTAGCTGTGCAATGAGAAAATAAGATAATGGGAAAAAAAAAATTTGAATACATGTAGTGTATTTGTTAAAAATTATTAAATTATGAAATAGCTTTAACTTTGTGATTCTGTTTAGGCCAGCAGAGAAGGCTTTGCTGCCCCTGACGGCCCACCACTGATATAGAGTCCCAATGGTTCTAGATTAGAAGCTAGTCGGTGTAGCATTGCGAGCTAACAGCTAACGCAATAGCCAGCCGCGAACAAGCTAGCATAGTCCATTTCCTCTGTACTGGACGGTTTATTCGCATCTGGGATTTTGTTGATTATACATTTTCCCCATTTAATAAATGTATTAACAGATAACAAGTTATTACAGTTTATTTAAAATACATCAATATACCAGATACTCCGGTCTCCTAACGCAGAGGACGGTCAAATCAAACTGGTTGTCGGCATACAGCTAGGAAGCTACGGTAGCTTCCTCCGTCCGTCTCTGGCTCTTCATTGTTAAAAACGTATCACCCAAACCCAAAATGCTAACATTCAAAGCTAAATATACTTTCTTGTGATGGCTAACTCCTCTGAAGAATACATTCGTTAGAGATAATGGGTAGCTGCTCTCATGACGTCGGTCTGTGAGGCCACATTTGAAGCTGAATAGCACCAGCGATGGTTCAGAGAGGAAACACCCCAATGAGAGTCAGCTTCCTGTTTCCGTGTCAGGTGGGTTTCACTACTGCCCGGCCCCTTGGGAGACTAGCAGCAGCTCCCGGGTCTATTTACTCCAATGGATTATGACCGATTCTTTCGCTCCATAGTCACCTAAGAAAACATTGGACCCATTTTTCACAAGCCAAATATCTTCCGAACATTTTGACACTAAAATGGCATTTTTCAGTCGGACAAATCCGAACTTTAGCGTGATCTGGCAACCAATGTTAGCTGTGTGTATATCTAACGTTAGCAAAAAAATATATACAACACATATACACTATGCAAATATAACCCGATCTGCTTTCATCCAGCCACTAGACATTCACAACACTTCCAAACCATAGACTGTCTATAAGAAGTGGATGTAACCGTCGTAACGTCACCCATTGGTTTGTAGTCGGCGGTTTTGAAGCCTCGAGTTTGGCATTTTGGCCGTCGCCGTCTTTTTTGCAAGCAGTGAACATATTTGGACGGCAGAGGAGTGACGTAGAGACGCTGTCTACAGCTCTGGTAGCAGCAGCGACCTGTCAATCACAAGGTGGCCACGCCCTGAAGCATACCCTGCTTTATATTTAGAGTCTATTTGACTCTAAATGGACCATCATTTACTAAATTAACTTCATGGTGTATTGAAGAAGACTTGAAACTAGAGATTGAGACCATAAACTCATGTTTACAATGTTTACTGAGGTAATAAATCAAGAGAGAAGTAGAGTCATTTTCTCATAGACTTCTATACAATATTGATTATTTTTGCAACCGGAGGAGTCGCCCCCTGCTGGTCAGTAGAGAGATTACAAATGTTAAGACCCACCTGCATCGGCTTCAGTCGGCAGAACCGAAGGTTGCCACCTGATTTGAAATGGTAAATGGACCGTACTTGTACAGCGCTTTTCTAGTCTTCCGACCACTCAAAGAGCTTTAACACTACATGTCATCATTCACCCTTTCATACACCAATGGCAGGGGGCTACCATATACCGCAGGAAACAGCCTGCGGGAGCAATTTGGGGTGTCTTGACCAAGGACACATCGACACAGATTCGCGGAGCCGGGGATCGTACCACTGACCCTCTGATTGAAGGACAACCCCGCTCTACCACAGCTAAAGCATTAGCATAGCTTGTAATGAGTCATCTTTGTTATAGAGCACCTTTGATATTTTTTTTTCAGAGAAAGCGATATATAGATAGTTAATATCAATCCTCATTGACACTCACCCTTGGGTAGCGGAGACGGAAAGGCTTCAGCAGCATCTCGGCTTCAGTCACCTCTCCCTCGCCCGTTCCTGAGAGGACAGAAACAGAGTTACGATACGTTATGTCGTGCAGGTTATCGCACGATCTGAACGATCTGAATCTGAACGATCTGAATCTGCGATGGGGACGAGGTCCGGCACTACCTAGAATGAACATGATAAAGGTGTAGTAGCAGAGCAGCAGCAGAGCGCATAGCATGGAGCGCAGATTCATCCCCGTCACACCGTCGTGCAGCAGAGACAGACCGTACTCCTAAAACGGCACCACACATATAGAAAAAATAAATCCATGAGTGTGAGCGCAAGTGAATGAGTGAAATAATTGAGGAAATGCACGCGTCGCACCTTGTCTCCGGAGAATCCCGCAAACTCCAAAACTTTGAGTAGCCGTGGAGGAAATAGAGAGAGTGTCTGTGAATGAAGAGGACAACACGATCACACACAACACACAGTCAACCGATGGTGATTAAAGGACACTTTGCTCTGCTGACCTACCAGGTTAAACGCCCCTATTCCAAATGATATTCCTCCCTCTAAGTGCATGTGGCTGGGTCCTTTGAGAAAGCGGTGAGATTTTATGAAGGAATGCAGTTCTCTGGATGGAAAAAAACAAACAAACAAAAAAAAAGGGATCCATGTCAGTTGTTTAAAAACGGAGCTCAGCATTATAATCAAATACTGTCTATGAAATGTGACTCAGCGAGAAAAGAAAATGGAAAAAGTGTACTTTGGCAATTTTTTTTAACCCTGTGCCTGACTTTTAGTCCCACACTTTATCCTTAATTTCCCATAATGCAACTCAACAGCATCTCTTTTTAATAACCTCCCTACCCGATACTCTGTACGAAGGCTTAATTCACTTTTTTTAAACATTACGTAGCTAAGATTTGAGGTAATATTCAGAGAAAAAAATGTAAGTAGTTAAAAAAAAAAAAGGTAGGAATTTTTTCTTTTATAAAACACAAAGATGAAACTATGAAATAATGACGGTTACTGTTTAAAAGGTTTCCTCCAAAACTATGAAAGGCAGAATTGGTGGTGTCCCTTAAATAATAACCGTATTAAATACTTTTGGAAAGTCTTGATGCACATTAACATTACACACCACCGACATTCGCCAAAATACCTCGTTACTTACTTGTATATTAGGTAACTGTTTCGTACTTTGATCCCTCCTTTGATGAAACTCACCATGTTCTCGTCCTGCTAAAATGAAAGACATGAATAAATAAGAGGGCGCGAAGGATTTTGAAAGAAGGTGCTTGGATTAGATTTCACTCCACAAATAGAAGATGACACTCGTAGAATTTTCATGCCATGTATTCACTGGGACACTTTAAGAATTATACACAGTCTTGAAAACCTGGATAATGTGGGAACTTTTGGTGTGCTGTAGGATATACAGATGTGTATATAAAAAGGACATGCAGTTCAGGTATGAGTTTGAAATAGCAGATTAGCCTGCTGTACTACTACCTGTAAGAAGGTGAGAGCAGCTCTTTGGAGTTGGCACTCGGCGTAACACACCTCAGCATGAAGCTGCACTGCAAAAACACACCCGTAAACACACACACACACACTTAGTAATAAATTACATAAAATGACCGTAGTCAAAAAGCAATAAAGCATCAGACCCAGCCCCGGATGTTACTGTCTGCATAGCTCTAGGGTTAGCAATGCTGCTCTGTTAGTCTGTTAGTCCACCACTTTGGCCGAGACTGAAATATCTCAACCGCTATAGGGCAACAAAAACAATTTTTTTGCAGACATTCATGTCCCCTTTGCAGGATAAATTGTAATAATTTGGTGATCCTGTCCTTCTATTTAGCAACATAATCACTTTAAATATTTGCAAACGCTCGCGACATTCCCATCAGCCTCAGCGGTCTTTTTTCCGAGTCAATCGCTAATTTTCCAATGTTAGCATGCTAACCCTCTGTTAGCATTGTCATTGTGACAATTTTAGCACAAGGCTCAACGCTAACTTGTAAAAGTGGCTGCCAGGCAACCAGGCATCCGCTTTAGGTTGCTGGAACTGAGAAATAAGGGCGTCATATTTAGTCGGCTTATATTTCGAGTGATTAAGATACTCTGCAGTTATTCGTTAGCTAAATAATGAAAGTGTGACATGTGCACATGTCATGTGTATGTTATACATGCTTTAATGTAGAATGTTGCTGTCCAGCTCAAAGATGCCGAGACACTACTGCACCAAAAAAGGCCAAAAATGTGTTGCCATTGGCAACCTGGCAACTGTTACTGTCACAGCCCTGTAGCATGCTAATGCTAGCTTTTGGCTTTAAAAGGGTCACTGCGCCTCAGTTCAGCTTCACAGAGCACTTTTCTTGATTGATGTGGAAAATTGCAAGTCCACAGAAAAAAGGACTGCTGATACGGAGAAGTTGACAACACAGAGCTAATTAGCATGGACCTTTTTTTTAGATACCGCAGGTTCAACAAATTAGCAATCAAACCCTGTTGAAAACAAACTGGATATATGACAACTGGACATGTTATCGCCATTGAAATAAGGAAAAAAAAAGATCTATGTAAATTACACTTTTCTTTTCATTTCCTGTTTTTTTGGGTGGATTTTTTACCTTCAGTGAGTGATGCCCCGACTGACTTGCTAGACAAAACCGGGGACTTCCTTCGAAACCTGAAACACCAAACAATACTTCAGCATAAACAAAAAAATGAATTGTGTTGCTATTTCCCACTAACCACATATCTGCTGACAGCGATCATCCGCTAATCACAACATGTGTCCAGCTCCGCTATCTTAGCAGCCGCTAGGCTATAATGGCTCCTCTCATGCAAACGCAGTCAAATCGGGCCATGTAAATGAACTTTGGTGTTAAATTTGCCTCTTATGGCTCACAGACTGAGGGATGACAAAAGGTAGCAGCACTTTTAGAGCATAAAATGATACTCCGTCAAAACACATCCACGTGACCGCCCTGACCTCTGGCAGACCTCCTGTGCACTCTTCATGGTATTTCCTGCATTGGTGATGTCATCAGGCTGGAAAGTCATCATGGCCTGCATTTCCAGCACCGTGGCGTAGATCAGAGCGTGGTACATGCTCTCCTTCACTCTACACAGGGGGAGACGGAGTGGCAGTAATCAATACACATCACACTGTAAGCAAACAAGAGGCGAGAGGCCGGCTCCTGAGCGACCTTCTGTATTTTCCTGTTAAGAAAAAGATAAGAGGAAATATACGCGCCACTTTATGCTTCCTATCTCCCCTCTGCTGCCATTCCCAGTCACATCTTGTGCACACTGTTTATTTTTGCCGTTCTGTTGGCTGTCGGATCAGTTACACCTTTGGGCGTCAGCTTCAGCAAACATCTCATATCCTGGAGAACCGAAGAGGCCTGACGGGGGCCACCCTTGTGCATCTCGGCTGAAACGAAGCGCAGGCTACGAGAGCTTCCTCAGTACCGAGCCCAAATATTGCTGACATCATACTGAAACGGGCCACCGTGAATGTGCTAAACCCCCCCAAAACAACAGTATACAGGAACCTCAAGACAGCGCGGTTCAAAGCCCTCCAGTGGAGCCAAACGTGACTCGTGGGTAAATTCTGTTACCTCGGCCGCAGCATCTCCAGGCTCTCATTGAAGTGGTTGTTGAGGAAGAGGTCCAGGGCCTCCATGCACTCATCCAGGCACTCTTTCAGAGTCATCTGCGAGGAGCTGCAGCACAAACACAAACATGGGAACGTAGCTGTGCAAAACGCATTCAAAGTTTAAGTTAGGTTTTTTCCACAAAACACATGAAGCAATATGAGCATCATCACACTGCAGCACCTGTGGCATGCCCTAAATATTCTCATTAATATAATATTAAATATTCTGGCCCAAATGAAGTGTCTTCAGTCAGCTGTTCTGTTTACCAAGAGTTGTTTACTCGGTCTTGAGTTGGGACTATTTCGTGACAACATTATGTCAGAAGAAGACACGGAAACGACGACTAAATTTAGCGTTTCCTGGTGAATTTAATATTACAGTCGATTATTTCCTGCGCAGGTTTATTTTCTTTTCCACAGAATTCCAACCTGGTGGCGAAGAAAAGGTTAAAGATGTGAAATCTTTTAGAGAAAGAGTAACTTTTTTCACCGTGTCAGTTGCCCGTACTCACTGTTCTGCAGTATTTGCGTCTTTCCCATTGGACATGTTCGCTCTCTATCTCTCCTCGTGCGGTTCGCGCGCGCGCGCACCGACACCTGTTAGCAGCTCAGCGGGTCCTCGCAGGAATATCAACATGCATTCACCACTTCAGAACACCTGGGGGACCGAGCTTTCGAGCCTTTTTTCCGTTGGTTTAAAGTCCCGTCAAGTGCTCCGAGGTGATGGCACGCGCTCGTCTGCGAGGATCCCGAGCGAGCGCACAGTTGAGGCGCGTCTGACTCCTCCTCCGTGTGACGTCGCTGAAAGGCACACATCAAGACGGCCCGGAGCAGCAGCGTCAGGTGCGAGCGAGCGGCTCCCTGTTTTCAGTCGTCGTGCCGACCGGTTAAACTCCTACGTGAAGAATTCCAATGTTATTTCCGGGACCGAGGAAAGTTTAGTCAGTAACTGTGAACACGAGCTACTCTCTCTCAAAGCCTAGAAACCAGAGAAGGAAGTCTGGAACTCGTGATGTCATAAAGTATAAAGTGTGGAGCTGCGTCTGAAAAAAACACAACATTCTATTTGGTACGCTAAAATAGTAGGCCTATGAGATAGTGAGATTTGTTTAGTATGTCCCAAATTTTTGTATTAAACCAATAGTTGCATGGATGCAATGTTGCCAGAGGTAGTTGTGTTGGTGTATATATGTATATATATATATATATATATATACATTTTGTCAGATATATACAGTACTGTTAACACCTCTACTGTCTTTAACATCACCAATCAGCTACATTATTTCACGCAGAGAGACGATTTTACATTTGATTAATTATTATCTATACGCTGATTCCATTAGTTTTAGACTCGATGTTTGACCACTTTTAGGCCAACACAAAAATAAAGAGTTTATTAGGATTATTATTAATTATGTCTACACTATAAGGCTTTGAAACATCATTTACATCATTTGAAGAAATTAAATTTACACAGAAAAAGCAAAAGACTATTTTCACGTTTAAGGCAGGGGAGATTTTTTGAAATCCTGAACTGTCTCTGACTCCTTCCTACTTTGGTGGGAACTATTTTTCAACAGCAATAGAACTACAAGACCCATCATGCAAGCCGAGGCAGCGCATGTCAAGTTCCGGGTCACGTGGTTAAAAAGCTGAGATGTTTTGGTTTAGAAGTGTCCCCCAGTTTTAGCCAGTTTATTTTTATTTATTTATGTCACTTTACACTCGCCAGTAGCAGTAAAGATGGACGCTTTACACGGACACCGCTCACTTTATAAAGGAACTACTTCGCCATGGAAGGAAACGTACCGCAAGGTGAGAAATACAGTTAGCTAATGCTAACTTGACAGTTAGCTAGCTAGCCAGCTAGCATGTTGGGGCGCCGCTGGTTCTTGTCAGTTTAACACCTTTGTGTTTTCTTCTTATTACGTGTTTCGCAGCGCTGTGTGGACAGGCTAAAGAACAGCCGGTCGAGGCTGCTGGAGAGATATCGCCAGACGGGAGACAGCCCGCAGCGGAGCGGCTCCGGGGCCTCCATCATCGTCCAGGAGGTGATGGAGGAGGAGTGGACCGCCCTGCAGTCCGAGGACCGGAGACTGCCCTCGCTGTGGGGGCCAGAGAGCATGGCAGAGGTCGGTTAGTCTTTTCCTCTCCCTAACGAGGTGTACTATACTCTTGGGTCTCTTTCTGTGTTACTCTTAGCTGTCCTGAGAGGGCTAACCTCTACCCTTTGTACCCTTTTAATAAAAATAACATTTCATAATAAGTCTCTCTTCACATGAATTCATCAAGTGGAAGTCTGCTGTCTTTTCATTTACGAGCAGATGTTCAATGTCATGAAGCAGTACGATGAACTGGCAGTACTGGAAGAAATCCAACAGGAGCTGGTGTCTCATGGTAATACATGTATTTATTTATTTTTTTTACCTGACTGTAGATATTCAAACAGATGGAAATCCCACAGATCAAAGTGACAACACACTGGCGGCTGGGTTGAGATATTTCTGCCGACGCACTGTAAAAAGAGAGAACCTGTTGACTCTGCGTGTTCTTTTCTTTGTGCCCCAGAAATGTCTATTATTGAAGAGTACGAGAGGAACCTGCAGTTTGAGCAGCAGTACATATCGTCTGTTGTGGAGGGGATGGAGGACGCGTATATTATTTGCCCCATATGTCACACGTGAGTCTTAGAAATGGGGTTTCTCCTCGTTTTCAACTACAAATCTCAAGTTGCACAAACACAATTTAAACCAGTCACAGACAGCATGTCTTGATTATTTTTTTAAATCTATTTTCAGATGCACTAAGTTATTCCATAAGTTGTACAGGCAAACATATCGGAATCTGTCACTGCTGGCTTATACCATGAGTCGGTTGATAACGAGACATATTTTATGAGTTGCATGTTTCTTTTGTCTCACAGGAACAACTTGAACATCAACAGCCATTTCATCTCCTGCCCCTGTGGACTGTACATTAACACTAAGGTCTGTTTGTTGCACAACTCGGCCAAATCTGAACACACACACAGACATACAGTATATATATGACAGAAGTTGCCCAAGAATCGGCTAGTTTCCTTCGTTATAAAAGTAATCCAGTGACGGCTGTCTGTACATCCATGGATGCGGCGCAGAAAGGAGCTGCTAATAGCTAATTCGGCATACTTTTAATTCATAAACATTACACTTTTGCAATTACATCAGTGGTTTTAAAGCTTAAAGCAGGTTCATCCTCCAAACAGGAGTACGATAACATTACTAAGTCAAAAAGTTCCGTAAACGTGATTCTATATTCAGTCACGCGCAGATATTTGTATCGAACATCTGAAGATGCAAAAAAAGTGTTGTGTTTTTTTGAGTAGCACCAACATATTGGCAAAATATAATTTGATGCCTGGCTCAAGATGTGGCGACTTTGCTAAGAGCCTGTAAAGAAAGGAAGAGAAAGCTCGGGGTTCGAGTGACTTAAGTAACGGCTTTGCTTTTAACGTTCTACGCCTTCAGAAAGAGAACGTCACCCCCGACGTCCTGAGGAGTCTCCTGGAGTCCAGGGTGTCGGAGCACATGGAGGACTGTCTCCACAACCCGGTTTTCTCTGTAGCTCTGGACACGGACTGCTCTCCCAACCTGATGATCAGCTGCAAGGTAGGACACAGTCTTAAGTTTCAGGAAGGGAACACCAAAAAACAACTGTTTTTGTTTCCTTTTTATTATTGCGTGTATACTGGCATGTTGCCCTCATATGTTCTCTGCTACATGACTGACCCAGTTTCCCCTCATGGTAAAATAACAACAATAAGAGCAGTATCACTTGTGTCCGATGGATTCTTTTCAGTCACAACTTAACTGTCATTTTCTCTGCTTTCAGGTTTGTGACTACCTCTCCATCGTCCTGTGAAAGCTGTTATGAGTGACTTAACTCACGATATTTGATTTTTTTTTTTTTATCGTTTTGTTCTCTCTCTGTTTTGTGAAATAAAGACTATTTTTATATTTAATGTGTTTGTTCTGTCTTACTGTATCATGCCCATTTTCTGGAGTCTGGCCTGTGACTCCACCATTTTCAGTTTGTCTCCTAGTCACAGTAACCACTAATGTGACTGTGATTCAACCGTCCAGCTCCAAAACACAAAGCCTTTATTGCAGTGCACACTAAAATAGAGACTAAAAAAAACAAACATATGTATTTATATCAGTTTGGTGGAACATTTCCCTGTATTTGCTTTGGCTCAACTGAGTGAATTTTACACAAATACTAGGGGATTGGAGGTACAGTCATCTGCAGCTACAAAATCCACAGTCAATAATGCATCCACACTTTCTGTTGGATCAAATGATGTTACCAGCACGTTTATGGCTACTTGGGCTTGATTTGATACTCTGCATGTCAATATCAAGCATAGTAGGCTGTAATTGTCTGAAATGCAACTCTTATTGAGGACAAGGGTTATATCACTGTTTGTTAACATCATTGTTGCATGCTATTTTTTCAAATCAGGTTTGAAATTCAATTTTTAGTCATTCAAATGTTATTAAAAATACCGTGGAACCGTGGTATTTTCTCAAGCAGTTATTGGACTGTGAAAATTTTTGCACGGTTACAACCTGAGTGGAAATAACTGCCGGATTAATCGTGGAAACCCTTCAAATTCCAAGCTGATCGATTCAGTAACGTCCAATAAAACATTTATTTTACATATAAGCTATAAATGACATATACAGTAATGTATCATCACTGGTAAACCAGACAGTTCAGTAGTCTCAATAGCTTTTCTTTGGAAGTGCCCGCACTTCTTGGCATGCAGAACTCCTCCATCACCGCTAGAGGGCGGCATTGTCCCGACCGTGTGAACGGTCCTGACCGGAAAACAGCTAGGCAGAGCCCACCACGGAGCTGAGGCAGGCAGGCAGAGGAAAGATGGCAGCCGCGGCAGTGGCTGAGTTTCAGAGAGCACAGTCTCTTCTTGGAACAGACCGGAATGCCTCTATCGATATCTTACATTCTATAGGTAAATATAATTGGCACCACGCGACACCAGGAAGGACATAACCACACGCTAAAACACGGACGCTATACACCCATCCATCACGCGTGGAGCAGCTGAGTTAGTCAGCTTTTTGCTGTTAGCCGGCTAGCAGCTAAGCTACGCCTAGTTAGCTAGCCCAGCGGTGGCCGCCTCCTTTCTCTCGTTGCTTGCACAGTGAGTCAGCAGCAGCAGCGGGCTAGCTGGCTAGCGACACACCGCCTAGCTTATCTGACGAGCTAACGCTAGCTGCCCCGACTCATTCATTTGATATTAACTATTGACAGCGGGCTCGCGGACGTTGGCATGCAGCCAGCGTCGTTAGCAGCTATTACTCGCCTTGTCAGATGTCAGGCCGACATTGGAATTGATGTGGAGCCGAGTTGACTCTGTTAACACCGCCTACTCTGTCACAGACTTTAGTGTGTGCTTATGTACCGTGTGATGCTATATGTTGACTATTAAAGCCTAGTTATGTAGCTGTCATTATCGTTTATTGTTTAGTATGACAGCTCTAATATTTCACAGCTTCGCTAGCCACTTGGCTGGCTGCCACTCAACTTATCCATGATGTAAAATGACTCAAAGCTTGTCTCTAGAGACTCGTAGATCACAGTGATTCATGTCAATATGTATCCGATTACATCATCATCATCATCATCATCGTAATCGTACGTGTGTGTGTTTTGTAGTGAAGCGGGACATCCAGGAGAGCGATGAGGAGGCGGTGCGTGTTAAAGAGCAGAGCATCCTGGAGCTGGGCGGCCTGCTGGCCAAGACGGGACAGGCTGCAGGTAAGGGAACATGACGCTCATGATCTGCCTGATGTGGGCACACACACACACACACACACACACACACACACACAGCTTTAGTTATGTCGTGCTGTAAGCACTACAGTCTTCCTACCACATGGGTGAGACTCCTGACTCTAAAGTTGCTGAGGTGTTGACATTTTTTTGGTCCAAATTGGATGGATTTACTAACACATCTTGACATTTTGATTCATTGGCTGTCAAGAAAAGACTGACAAAATGTGTCAAGCATCACTTGACATTTTAGCAATTTGTGACTTGTGTTTGTTGTCTCTGATCTGATGATGCTGAGCAGCAAGACACTTAAAGGTGCAGTCAGCGATTCTTATCAAATGCACACTTTGTCAAATTCAGCAAATGTCTCCTCGTGGTCGGACGATATATGTGAGGAATACGTTCAGTCTAGGGTTAGATACAATCCCTGATGGACCATTTTATATTCATTCATGCTCTTTCTTTTCCTCCCACTCTCTCGCGCTCAGAGCTTGGGGGTCTGCTGAAATATGTGCGCCCCTTCCTCAACTCCATCTCCAAGGCCAAGGCAGCCCGGCTGGTCCGCTCCCTGCTGGACCTGTTCCTGGACATGGAGGCCGCCACGGGCCAGGAGGTCGAGCTCTGCCTGGAGTGCATAGAGTGGGCCAAGGTGGAGAAGAGGACCTTCCTCAGACAGGCGCTGGAGGTGAGACTTTTGGTGGTGGTGATGGTGTCGCGGGGCTTGTTCACACCCAGCGGTTTGCTCAGCCTCTCGAGCTCTGCTTTGGTTTGGGCGAGAGAAAACAAGCCTTTCTTACGCAAGATATGGCTCCAGAATGCTGCGACAAGATGCCCGAATTTGTGGGTCTGTGGTTGCATTGTCGCCCCTTTTGTCCGGCAACCCAAACAGACAGGCTCAAGATTATGATCGACTTGTTTGGCGGCTGTCTGGTTTAGTTATCTATGTAAGAAAACAACAACTCATAAACACTAGCTGAGTAACTGGAAGACTCTTCTTTATCTCACCAATTGGCCCTTCACCAAGTCCCGCCCCTGGAACGCAGACTGGCCAATCATAGTGTAGCATCGGCCAGCTCCGACAAGGGTTCCTCCAACTATCTGGCTCTGCTCCATAGACTCTCATGAAGTGTTTCAGATATTCTTGATGTTCGATCTGATTTAGTGGATTTAGAGCTCGTCCTGGTTAAACGTTGTGTAAACCTAATATAATGGTGGGGGAAACACTGCGTTAATTAGCACTTCTATGCTACGCTAGCTACTGAAGACGGAATCTCTACACATGCTGCTTTAACTTTTAAGTGATTGTAACAGTGGATAAAGACCTACCAGCTTTACAGGAACATTGTTGTTCCTACATTTCATTGTCTTCTGTCTCGATCACCAGGTGATGTGGCGGTTGACTTTTATACTGTGATCTGTAGCTTTAGCTTCTATCTTTATCTTTTTAACCTGTTTTTGCTGCTTAACATCCTGGATATACCCTTAAAACACAGATTGTCGACCCTTCTGTTTGCTTCTCTCTCAAATCACCTTTTAGTTTATTCCTAAAATGTGATTATTTCTTCAAGCAGTGCAGTTAGTGACGGTGTGGGCTCCGTGGTAGCCTATTGAAGAGGTCGGTTATGCAGTGTTTGGGTTTAGCTAGCTGTCCAGAGCCAGATGCTGATGCCAAACTGGCAGAACATCGGAGACAAGCGGTACTTTCCAACATCACCAAAACAAAAGCCGTGAACTTTCTAATGAACGTTCCCACCTTCTCTGTATCCAATCGTCTGGTCAGAGGGAAATGTTGGAAGAATCCCTCGGTTGCTTTATCTGACACGACAGTATTTGGGATACTGTTGCCACCTCAGCGGGTGTAATCGGTTACCCCAAACATGTAGATTCACGAAAAAAGTGATCCAGACTATCTAAGTGCGAGCCAACATGTTTAATGTTATCTCACTTATGTCCTAAAGGAAGTCTTGAAGCATTATTTGCTATGTTTGCTATTTTAAACTATCGGTTGTATAGTGACAAAGATGAGTACAAGCACTGCAGTACTCTATGTGTTGCTTTGGCAATTTAACAGTTAACCATTCCTTGAAACATAACGACCCTACCTGTGTGTGCAACGTTCGTTTTCAGGTCAACAACATGTTCCAAACTTTAAAGTGACGAACACGTATAGCGTTGTGCTGCATATTTCTTTTCATGCATTTGTTATTTATGGGCTGACCCATAAACAGACAAGTTGTCCAACCGGGCCCTGACATTTTTTTTTTTGTCTCTCCTCAGGCTCGTCTCATCTCACTCTACTTCGACACAAAGTGCTACCAGGAGGCACTACAACTTGGTGAGTGTCGAGTCTCCTGCAGTTGTTGTTTTTCAGTTTCTTGAGAATTAACAGAAACCTTGTGTATGAAACTTATTAGAAAAAGGGGATTGGAGGATGTTTGCTTGAGATGCTTTTTAGTTCTCATCATTTCAGGGGGAAAATCTGTCACTTTTAGAAACCAAAAACGAAGTGAACGCACTGAAAAGCATCAAGTTGACTCCTAACTTGCCGTCCGCAGGCACCCAGCTGCTGCAGGAGCTGAAGAAGATGGACGATAAGGCCCTGCTGGTGGAGGTGCAGCTGCTGGAGAGCAAGACGTACCACGGGCTGAGCAACCTGCCCAAGGCCCGCGCCGCCCTCACCTCCGCCAGGACGACCGCCAACGCCATCTACTGCCCGCCGAAGCTACAAGCGGCTTTAGACATGCAGTCAGGTACAAGGCAGGACTGACACCGCTGTGAGGGATCTGTTTGCTCGGCTGCAGGCCGCTCTGGATGTATTTCTGAAAACATTGCTGTTGCACCTAACCTGACGTGTGTGTGTTTGGGTGTTTCCAGGGATCATTCACGCAGCCGAGGAGAAGGACTGGAAGACGGCTTACTCCTACTTCTACGAGGCCTTCGAGGGCTACGACTCCATCGACAGCCCCCGAGCCATCACAGCCCTCAAATACATGCTGCTCTGCAAAATCATGCTCAACTTGTAAGTGGCACACTGATCAACTCACTATCGGGGTCACATCCAAGCAGTTTGCAGCCGTTATTCATAGAATGTCGGCGTGTAAAAGATTCAATGTAAGACGTGTGACTCTACGTGTTAATAACCCAGAATGGCTCTCAGGTCTGATGCGTATTGTTTCTGTTTCAGGCCAGAGGATGTCCAGTCCCTCATCAGTGGCAAGCTAGCTCTGCGGCACGCTGGCAGACAGGTAGCATTTTAACATTCCTAAGAATTTCAATTCTAACTCAAAAACAACCTCCCCTGAAAGACAGTTGCCCAACGTGTGGAGGGTGGTGTCTTTCCAAAACCGAAATCAAACACAGGCGCGAATGTGCTATTGCCAAGACATTGTTTGGCGAACTTACCACTTAAATCTCCGGCTTTTTGTCCAGTTTTACCAGCAACTTCCGACTCAGGCGGAATGTGTGTTATGGATGTTGCCGGTACGACTCGCTTCCTTTACTGTTTCCTTTGTGCTGCTTTTATGTATGAAAATTGTCCAAGCATGTGAAATATTATTTTATGTAAAACTTGCTTGCTGCTTGACTCTCTGGAAGAAGAGATTTTGTATCTCAATGAGACCTTCCTAGCTAAATAAATAACAGTATTATTGTCTGGTCTAAAGTGAGCCGCAAACGTTAGCGTGTTAGCGCTAACTAGCTTCAGCTTAACCAGACGTTATGTCCAAGGCCAGTACCATGTCATCAACAAAATATGTTAATGTGTGGTGTTACAGTTTGTTAGAGGGAAAGAAAAGCCTGCTGGGACATGCAGTTTTATCCTTTTTGCACAATATCATAATATTGACGCCCTTTTTTTTACAGGGTTAGGGTTTTAAAACGAGTCTACTGGAAATACTAAAAAGCCGGAGATGGTGTTTTGAACCAGCGGGCTAACAACTTAATTAGCTAACTGGCTACAGCTGAGGACATCTGCCAGGCACAATTATAGTTTCAGCGGGCAAAATCAATGGTTGCCCTCTAGAAATAAGATGCTGCCTTGTCTACCTTTGTCTAAACCCATGTACGTTTCCAAAATGACTCAAATCGTGAACTGTGTCAACTGCATACTGAGTCATCAGAGAACAGAAAGCTCTACAGGTGTAGCAACAGTGACTAAAGGGGGCAGGGCTTAGTGAAACAGTCATTGAAAGTTAGATTTAACTAGATTAGATGGATGGCCATTGCTGGATATACTGTATTTATGTATTTACATATTTATGATGTTTGTGCCTATAACCTTTTGTTTGTATTCTGTTTCTACAGACAGACTCGCTGAAATGTGTGGCACAAGCCAGCAAGAACCGGTCGCTGGCAGACTTTGAAAAGGTTTGTGTCTCGAGTTTTCATGCTGTATGCAGACTTTTTTTGCAGCTGTTAACTATTTATATCTTCCATTACAACATTATTAATGAGACTGCTGTTTGTACTGTCTGCCTTTCTGCATGTTTGGCCTTTTTCGTGATTCAACTGTCCATTTATCCCACTTTCTCCAAGGCACTAACAGAGTACAAAGTGGAGCTGAGGGATGACCCCATCATCAGCACCCATCTGACCACGCTGTACGACAACCTGCTGGAGCAGAACCTCATCAGGGTCATCGAACCTTTCTCCAGGGTCCAGGTAATCCTCTCAACATCTGTCCTTGTTCAACCGCAGCTAGTTCAGGCAGATACAGAACCGTATCCAGGATATATGGAGCATTTGTTCAGTGCCCTAGAATTCAATCTCAATAAAATTATTAAATAAAGAAAATGTTTTTGTAGAAAAACGGGAATGACTGGACAAAGTTAGGAATCGAAAGAAATAATTAGGCCTGTCACAATATCTACTTTAGATGGACGATATATTGCCCCAGAAATAATTGCAATAGACAATATTATTGTTTATGCCACTGATGATAATTTAATAGCATAATAATACAAGTACACCCTTTCAAAGAGTAGTGAACTTTTAATTCTTAAAGATATTCAGACATTGTAAATTGAGTGTGAAGACCATTTAAATATCCTAAATAAATAAAACTAAACCACACATCCAAAACAATAAATAAAAGTTCACTGTTAACAAAAATCATCATGTTGGTTAGGTAACGTAAAAAAGATCGCGGTCATGTCCATATATCGTGCGATA